CCCTGTGCTCTTTCAGGACAAGCCCAACAGTATACCTATGAGTCTCCATGTTTCAGGCAGACGAGGTATACAGTCAAAGCATGCCTTCTAGAACACAGTCTAGGTAATAACTTCTGGTCTAAGGAAAGACATACCCAAATATAAAGAGACTACTCTAATGATACTCTCTGTGAGATTTCCTCATAGAGTCTACCTACGACTTTAGCTAAGACATCTCCATATCTGTAGTACATGGGGGTCTTTACCTTGTATCCGTATACAAGTAGATAAAGTCGTGCTAGTCTATCCGACACTACTGATCCCCATTCTCAGTGTCTCTAGACTAAGAACATAAAATTAGGAATAAACGTGCGGTATCCTTGAATCCTCATGATTGTGATCTCATCACAAATACTCAAGAGATACCTGTTCTATTCCAAGGGGTTTATCCAGTTACTCATATATAATATTAACAGTAATATCGAGACATAATATGAAACAGGATAAAGAGTGCTTATTATTTATTTGCGACAATAAAGGTCTACATTTAATGTCCTTATTTAATCAAAAGATTGTCTCTAGGACACCCATATACTAACAGTTGCTGACTATTATGGTCCATCGCACATTTTGAGCAAGAAAGACGATCTTCTGATTGCGGGCCTCGTATAGTTTTGCCAGCCCAATAGCATATGAGAGGGTGTTGGCCTTGTTACCCACCAAGACGTCTAACCAGTTGGAGAATTGGTTGAACATCTCCTTGAATTGCTCCAACAAAAACTGGACCGCGTCTTTCAATTTCTGAACGCGTTTGTCCATGTCTGAGCTTTGATACCAATTGTTACTAACAAAATAAATAAAAATGGGAAAATGACTTTATTGGGAAAGTATGACCTTAAATGGCTTTACTGATGAAGCCTGACCTCTTGCACAAGTGCCTTTTGGGATAACTTTTCTAATCTGATCTGATAATTTTTATTCCAATATTTCAAGGTTTAAATAGATAATGAGCCAATCATAAAAGTAACTACCCACTAACATCAAATACACTCCACTATGTTATCAAAAAAAAAAAAAAATACACTCCACTAATAACAAAACAAGAAAAATAACTACCCACCACTTAAATGACCCAATAATTCAGAAAATAGTAAAATATCGTAAATAAAATCATAACAGTAACTGGGCTTTTTGACCCTTTTGCCCCTAATTAAATAATTAATAACCAATTTGCCCCTCCCCCAGAACTATCCACCATCCTGCCCCCATTTAGTCGATTAAGTTGCACTTAATCGAATAAATGGGCTAAACTCAGAAATTATGAAACACGAATTTTAGTCGACTAAAAACTCACTTAATCGACTAAATTGTTTGCACTTTTAGTCGACTAAAGATCGCGAAAAACCCTATATCCAGACCTCTCTTGGCCTCATTTTCATTATATTCGAAATCAAAACTCCTCTCTTGGTCTCTTTCTCTTGTTTGTCAGCTGTGAACCTTCCAATCACCCTTCCATTTCATCCCACCACCTCTAAGGCATAGTAATGGTGAAATCATTGTCATTTTCCTTTATTTCTCAATTGTTTTCCCCAAATCCGAACCCTAACCCCTAAAATCTGATTCCTACCCCCAAAATTCGTGTGAAAGATGAGCTCAAGTCCAAACATGTATGTTACCATGATTTACTATGATGGAAAGCATTATGAAGGCCCCAACGGTGTTCAATTTGAAGGAAAAACGAAAATGTTGAAAATCAAACGGGGAACTACGTACAATGAGCTGAAGGGGAGGATTAACCAAAAATTGGGGCTACATGGCAGCCATGGCGTTCAACGGATGATCGCCAGGGTAGAGTCTACAGTTGGTAAGGATGCTATATTCTACATTGGTAATGATATATGTGACGATGAAGACGTGGACTGTGTCATAGATGCAATTGTGGACCGAAAATTTCAAAACTTTATTGAGATATATTTACATGAATGTGGAAGCAACTTCAACACTAAGTTTAGGGACGTGGAACTGAAGAAAACGCTGATGAAACTAGGTAACCTATTTACATGAATGTGTACATGTTGTATGTAATGTTGTTTATGTATAACTCATTGCAATTTGGGTTCATTTTTTGCAGGTTACATGTGTTCGAAGAGTCACTTTGATTTAAGATTTCAAGAATTTGTCGACAGTAACCCACAAGTAGCCTCATGGATAGATCAGATTCCCAAAGAGAAATGGTGCAGGTCTTATGATGAAGAGGGCCGAAGGTTTGGTCATATGACGACTAACCTATCTGAGTGTATCAATAAGGTCCTACGGGGTGCACGTAATTTGCCAGTAATGGCATTGGTCAAGATGACGCAAAGTAGACTTGTAGAGTATTTTGTGAAGAGGCGTGAAAAGATCCAAAAAGTAAAGGACAAAGGCTGGAGAATTGCAAAAAAGGTTGAGGACTTCTTACAAAAGAATGATCAGTTAACTGTCAGTCTCCGTGTCCGTGTTTTTGATAGAGACTTGCAGTTGTTTGAAGTTGAGGATGCCTACAATCAATCTACGCATGATGTCGGCGACATTATGAGGGTTGACTTGCTAAATCGTAAATGTCAATGTGGACGGTTCACAGCTAGACGATTTCCTTGCAGTCATGTGCTAGCGGTGTGCAAGGTTGAAAAATTGAACCACTATGACTATGTCGATCTTGTGTTCTCAATTACACAAATTGAGAAGGTCTATGCTGCACATTGGTTTCCAATGGGTAATGAGTTGTTGATCCCAGAAATAGATGGTCCAACATTAATCCCAAATGCATCTTTGGTTCGTGCACAAGGTAGACCGAAGTCTTCAAGGATACAGAATGAAATGGATTGGGTTGAGTCCCAACCCACAAGCAGTCAAACTAGATGCAGCACCTGCAAGCAAATTGGTCACAATAAACGTACATGTCCTATGAGGATTAATCCTAGCTGAACCAATGTTGTGCATGTATTTAAGGTCTTTTGTAAGAGTTTATGTAATTCTTGTAAGACATTTTGATGTTACTTTGTGTTACTGTATAACTCATTATGTAATTTGACATTTCATTTCTAAGTCCATTATCTAACATTGGTCCATATTGATAGATTGAAACTCATAACTAATACTAATATTACCAAAAAATAAAATCACCAAGTTTCGGGGAGCGTAAACAAACGGTTTGGGGTAATACGTACCCAATCGCATACGAATCCTGTACAATACTATTTTGTACCTGAAAGTGTGTTCCCCAAGTCATTATATGCGTGTACATTGATATTCGATCGGTTCCGTGCCAAAAAAATGCGTGCAAAACAGAATGGGGGTGTCAAAACCAGTTTTTTAGTCGAGCAACCTGTACTGGTTTAGTCGACTAAACTGTGTAGTCGACTAAACCAGTACAGGTTGCTCGACTAAATAACTGGTTTTGACACCCCATTCTGTTTTGCACGCATTTTTTTGGCACGGAACCGATCGAATATCAATGTACACGCATATAATGACTTGGGGAACACACTTTCAGGTACAAAATAGTATTGTACAGGTTATAAACCACGAATGTACATGTACTGCAAAAATGCTCCAAGTTAGGGTATCCGAAACTTGTGTTCTTCTTTTAACTCTGTTAAGGTCACCTGTTCTGAATTTCATTGGACATTTTACACCCGTTGGACTGTGATTAGACACAAATTGAAAACAAGAAGGTAAAAGATATTTGTTCCTTCATTTGGTAAACAAGAAAACAACAATAATTACGTAAACGGTTCACAACATGATGGGAACATCAAATAGTTCATTTCATAACCATAATATTACATAAACTACAAATGTCAAATAGGAAGACCGAAGTCAATTACATAACAACATACACTACAAACGTAAAATAGAAACATAAACCCTAAATCTAATCATCATCCTCCTCGGACGCAGTCTCCTCGTCATCCTCATCTGACACATCAGCCCCCTGCCCTGCAACATCCTCAATGTGCTGTCCTCGTCCAAGCTCTAGACGAGCAAGCCTATCTTCAACACCCTTGAACCGTCCCTGTATATGTCTAAATCTTTCATTTCCCTTCTGCACGTGACTCTTCCTCAATTTTTTGTGTTTCAGCGCCATTTTTCCTATTTTCTTCAGCGTGGCGTTTATGCCCTTCATGACATCACGTAATGAAAACCCACCCTCAGGCTCAGCTATCTCCTGCTGGTCACCCTCATCATCATCGTCATCATCATCCTCCACCTCGGGCTCAACCATGTCATCAGGAACCTCAACATCAGGAACCTCAACATCAGCCGCACCTGTGAACTGCCACACTCCTGTTTGGGGGTTCTTTGTCATCTTGCATTGCTCCAGTAGACGTTTTCCAAACTTATGATTATACCCTGTGGTCTTCTTCAAGGTCACATTACCCATGGGAACATCAAAATGCTCCAATATCCTCTGAACAAGACAAGCAAATGGAAGTGCACCCTTGTGTTTGGCCTCATACATCATCCAACAGATGTAGTGCCTCCAGTTCACCGAAGTACCATGTCGGATAGCCCACATGATAGGAATGTCATGCTCCAACACCCTGGAATGATTGAACGCTCGCGGAAACGGAATGTGGGTGATGACATAGTGTAGTATGCAGGACTCCACAGTAAGCAACCCCACCGTATAGGCAATGTGTTGCCCACGAACTCTCCTCTGCTCCTGCACGGCATCACCGCGTGTATATCCTGGAAGTATGGTCCTGCTGTCTGCATCATATTCCACAGTCTGCGCAGAATCAAAGTCATACCCCAGTAACTCCAACCATACCGGAGCCGTCATGATGATGTCCACCCCGCAGACCCTAGACCTCAGCTCACCCTGATGGTAGCTGAGGTTATGGTAGAAGGCCCATACATGCAGCTCAAAATATGAACACGACAGTTCAGCCAAGGTCCTAAGATGTGATTCCTCCAACCACCTCACAATGTTAAAACCTTCTTGTTCAAAAAAGGCTGTATCAAGTGATTTGGCCCCACAAATCGGTCGGTTAACAAAGTCACGGACAAAAGATTCATGAACCACCGGGTCATTCTCGAACAAGTATCCGAATGGGAGGTCGACAGCAGCGGGGTCTTCCTCTTGTGGCCTTGACGAAGACGGACGGTCTTGTCGTAGCTTGTCGTCTCTCATTTCCAGTGCTAGACGATCTTCTACGGCCAGCCATGGGAACAACTGTACCTACAATGCAAGTGGAAACAAAAATCAATGAACAATAACAATATCAAAAAATTTAAAATTCAATATAAAAAACAAAACCTAATCCTAAAATAAAACAGAAATCAGAAACCATATCCCTAACCCTAAAACAGAAACAGAAACCCTAACCCTAAACCCTAACCCTAACCCTAAAACAGAACACAAAAACCCATTCATAAACCCTAAACACTACAACCCAAACAAAACAGCAACATAAACCCTAACCCTAACCCTAACCCTAACCCTAAGCCTAAGGCACCACATCAACCCTAACCCTCACCCTCACAACAAACTTAGCACCCTACCCCTAACCTAAATCCACAAAACCGCAAACAGAAATCAAATGCATGGAGAAAAAAAAAAAAAAACTAAACTTAAAACCAAATGCAAGTCAGAATACGTTACCTAAATGTCGATTTCGCAAGTGTGAACCAAGGAAGCTTCAATCGCACCTTCAAGGGTTGAGATTCAGACTTGGTTGGAGAGAGGGGACGGAATGGAGCGATTTAGTCGATTAGGGTTTGAAAATAACCCCCTTTGCGAAATGGGGGGGGGGGTTTAAAAACCTGATTTGCGACATTTAGTCGACTAAATAATGTTCTTAGTCGACTAAAAGTGCAAATAATTTAGTCGATTAAGGTGAGTTTTTAGTCGACTAAAATTCGCGTTTCATAATTTCTGAGTTTAGCCCATTTAGTCGATTAAAAGTGCAACTTAATCGACTAAATGAGGGCAGGATGGTGGATAGTTCTGGGGGAGGGGCAAATTGGTTATTAATTATTTAATTAGGGGCAAAAGGGTAAAAAAAACCCAGTAAATGAATTAGTTTTTGCCATATTTGATAAAAGATATACGAGAGTTTGTTATTTCAGTAACACTGAAAATATTTTCCAATAATAAAAGATGGGCGCTTAATTTTGTCATTGACAAATGCACAATTCTCCGGGAGAGAAAACAAATGCCAGTGCACAAGTCTACCCTATTTGAGACAAGGAAAAAACAATAAAAAAATAAAAGGGAACAAACTTAATCACCAACAATTTGGAGTTCTATCAATGAACCAATGTACCCAAGCTTTAACCGAACAATATCCTGTTATGCAAAATAATGCTTAATCCTTTATCTTCTGGACTCCAACCCATCGAGCAAAATCCACCCATCTATTAAAAAAAGAGTAGCAAATAATGAGAAATCAAAAGAAGAAAATGCTTTATATAATGATTAATTGAGCTAAATCAATAATCTTACAATAGTGAGCCCCAGTAAGTATTGCCAGTTCTAACAGTAAAGTACGCTGCTGTTAGTATAAGCTTGTTTCGTTGTAACAATGGTTCTAGAATCCGTTGCTCAATTATTCCAGCAAGTACTTGGTACCTGATCACAAATTCAACTCAAATACTTAAACTATTAGGTGAGACTATATTAATGATTTCATATTATATTTCTTTAAGTGTGGACAATGCATCAGCTGCCTACCCGTACTAAAAAACTCAATATTTAATTATTTTTTAATAGAGGGCGGGGAGAATCGAACTAGTGACCACTTAGTTACGGAGGCTCTGATACCATGTAAAGAACTATTTCAACTCTAAAGCAAGTCGATATCCAATACCATAAAAAAAATACAATTTAATGTTCAATAGTAGTTTGGTTTTATCGAAATGGAATACCTGAGGTTGCTTACTACCACCATGTAAATTCCATATGCTACACTGGTTGATATTACAGGTAAATTCTCAGCCTCAGCAGCAAATGTTTTATTAACAACCTTCTGTGCACTGATCAATGCGTTTGTTATACTTATACCAACCTGAAAAGGCATTGCCACCAGTCACGCTACCACACTACCAATGCATGTATACTATGACTTGTTATGAATTCTATACTAACATCCATGTTCCTTATTCAGTGCTATGCATGGTTCTTTGGTAACTTCTAGTTTGATTAGGGAAACCACAGAAAATGAATCTGCTAATGAAGGTTACAGATTTGGTCAAGAAGAAGAGACTTATAATATTGTAGCTGCTCATGGTTATTTTGGCCGATTAATCTTCCAATATGCTAGTTTCAACAATTCTCGTTCTTTACATTTCTTCCTAGCTGCTTGGCCAGAATGTCATACTGAAAATAGAATAAGCCAAGGAGGTAAGAGTGTAATAACTTCTGGACTTCTAGGGTTGCGGATGTCAATGACATTCAATTGAAGAGTAAGACACTTTCCTCTTGGAAACATGTATGCTTGTATGCATCATATGAACAGCATATGATCCAGAGGAGAACAGGTGAACCCTAAATGAAGATGTCTATAAAATAAGATTTTAATAACTACTTCATGTTCTCTATTGAACTTGATGACTTACATGAAATAATTCCTTTATATATTTCTTTGCTCTTATATATCATGTATTCTAGGTGAAGTACTTCAGAATCATCAGGTTACAAAGTCTTGATACAAGCACTCTGCAAAAATTTATATTTAAAAGAGAAGCAAAGTGAAGTAGGGAGTAACAGCCAGTGAATTTCTAATAAAAATTGATAGCTTTCCCTGTCTTCAATAAGCCTAACCTATTTATCAAAAGCAATGAAAATAGTGCAACAAATACAATCTACGTTAACTTTTTTTTTTTCTTCTGTATATTTTGATGATCAATAGAATTCCATTTGCAAGGACCAAGAGCAAGTTTCATAGAGGCAGAGAAAAGTCTATTAAGATTAAAAAAACCATTCGCCATTTAATATGAGGGTAGGGGTGAGGATAGTCCTAATAGAAAAGTTTATTAAGATAATTTGACAAAAAACTTGAACAAGCTATAAGGGTAATGTTGTATAGAAAGTAAGGTGCTAATTTACCAGTGAAGCACTGGTGCCAACTACAAATAGCTTTGCTCCATTGCGCTGCATAAGAGATGGAGATGACTCTCAATTACAAGGAAATAACTATTTGGCTTGCTTTAAATGATCCAACACATACCACTATAGCACCTATTCTCTGTAGAAGTGTATATGATGTCCCAGCCAAAGCTACCTGATGAGAAAATGAAAACTTATCAACATCTGAGCATATCTACTATTACAAATAAGGTGCTTATAAGAACTAAAATTAAAAACATAAAATAAAAAAAAGAAATGCAGAAAGCTTTGTATTAAAAAAAATTAAATAGAAATGCAGAAAGGTAAAGAGTATTAACCTGAAAAGCATTTTCAGGACAGCCATAGAAGAATTTAGCAATTGGTCCAGCACTAAATGCAAGAGGACGTTTGAGAGAAACAGTGGGAGCAGGAAACCACACAAGCACAAAACCTGTTACAATGCCTGTTACCTAAGATAAAAAAATAAAAATAAAAAATGAATTAAAAAGTTCCTCAATTCTTATATAAAGAAAATGGACAAATTGTGTTCTTCAGAGTACAAGTTAAGGGAAAGTTGATTAGTACAAAAGAGAAAACGTTACACCATGCAGGTTCCAGGGATGAAAAAGGGTAAGTGACATGGATTGGCTTTTGACAGAGCAGGCATAAATTACTTATTAAATTAATAACTTTCAGCACTTAGGATCTATTTGTTAGAATAATACGTTTCTATCCAAGAGTAATTGGTATAGTGGCGGCCCGGCTAGATCTCAAGATTTGACCTGTCTAAAAGGTAATGAGTTTGAATTTTGAGAGTCACAATTTCTGAGAAGGGTGGAGAGACACAAATCTAAAACCGGATTAGTTAGGTTCAATAAGAGTACGAACATTGATCTAGATCTATAAGCTGATAACCCCGTGGCATCAAGTATACTTCACAAATTCAACTCAACTTAAACGTAGCAAAGATAGAGCACGCACATCAAAAAGCTGTACATCAATTATAGAAACTGTATATATGTTTTCTACAACCACTATTCAAGAATATATGTTGTTGACAAGCATACCACATTAGCAACAACGAAATCCATCTCCTTAGTGAAATTTTCTTTACGCCGTTCCAATTCTGCAGCAGCCTGAAAGCACACAGGATATCCATTACAGATTGATCATTCTCCCAAAAACACTAAAGTACGAAGACAAGAACAAAGAAATAACAGGGGTCTTCCTGAGACAGTTGGGTAAGTAAATTGTATTGATTTGTTAAGTAACAGGTCTAAATCTCATTCCATTTTATTAATGGCTTTGGTTCATAACATCATATCACTTTGTCATCCACTGTCCTTTTTTTGGGACCAACAAATTATATATGCAGAAACTCAACCTAATGATAACAACTAAGTTTCAAATTATTAAACTTTGAAGGACCATGACACCCTTACTTACACAGCTCTTTTTGTTGGAATGAAATTCAAATTTAAGAGGAAAGTCTCATATTAGTTAGAAATGGACCAATTGAAGATAATATAAGTGGAGAAAACCCATCAACTTACCGTTAAAATTTTGGGTTGATGAAAAATATTCGTTTCAGAGGGTTTTGGACTCAAAAAGTAGCCTTTTAATTAGATGACAAGAAAAAGATTAATAGACAAAATTCTCCTCTCACTGCACAAGAAATTCTTTTGCACCAACCAATTAATATTATGTCTTAGATCCTGTATGGAGCACCCATAAAAAAGCATATCCTACCCTTATCAGTCCCATATCATATACTACCTTTATCTTATCCTATCCACCAAACGAGCCCTTAGTGTCTTACCAGTAAGATTAAAATATAGTTATAATATTAAAATTATTTTATTTTCTTTCCGCCATTTCAACCGACAGTCTTATAAGAAGAGAAAAAAAAAACTTTTAAAATTATAATTATGTTTACTGGTAAGATATAGTATTAATTAGTTATTGCAAAAAATTTCTTCTCGCGTGAAAGGAGAAGTACATTTCTCATACATACACTCATGTGACATCATTGATCTTTTTGATCTAGTGGCTCTCAAATGAGGTGTCAAACTTTAAATTTGACACTGTTGTCAAAAGATCATATCCTATATATATATATATATATATATATATATATATGTATATATATATATGACTTATCGTTTCTCTAGTTGTTTGAAATAATTTTATCTTCGGCTACTAAATCATAATCGTACAAAATGGATGAATGATGATAAAGGAAGAGATAGAAAATGAGAATCATAATCATTCAAAGGTAAATCAATCAATATAAGGAAATAAATAAAATAACATAATTTTGTGCTAATCTAAAATAAATATATCTCAAGTAACTTGAAAAATATTTTTCGTATATATATATATATGGAAAAAATGAAAATAAAGTGATTGGATGGTCCAGTGCACTAAGTTCTCCCGTGAGAACATAGTGCACAAAATATTATAATGGTGTTCTCCCGGAGAACATAGTTATAAAATTACTATAACTGTGTTCTCGCAGGAGAACTTAGTGCACTGAACCAAATTTTACATCCAGTCACTTTATACTCACTAAATCCTATATATATATATATATATATATATATATATATATATATATATATATGAGAAAAAGAATTCTTATGTTGTAGGAGAGCTCTCTTCTCATGTTAGTGAGAGTTCGTTTTGCGCGCAATAATTTTTTTGTTTTCTCTATTTTTTATGTGTGGGCCCCACTATAAATTTGAGTGTGTAGGAGATTTCCTCTTCTCCAATAGCATGAGAAAAGTATTGCCCTGTATATATATATTAAGTTCATAACATGTACATTTAAAAAACAAAACAAAAAGAATTACAAATTCACTTTTCTTGTACAGTGGAAACATGAAAAAAAGTCAACATATAATTATAATATAGGGTCAATATTATTTTAATTCGGTATAAATTATATATTCAATCTTAATTTTTAATATTATTTATATCTAAAGGCTTTAATTTATCAAATATATGGTCAATAATCAATATTTGAGGCAGACTCTTTTTATTCTTATATCCCTCGTAAAGATATCCTGCCCCTATTTATTATTCACCAAAAAAATTGAAATGGAAACGCAAGCAAACCTTTGTGAAGATGACAACAACACATTCCATGACAAGCTTAGTTAAGAACAAATCATCTGCTAGCAACCTTTCCTTAAACCCTCCGAACTTCAGCAGCCACCGGAACACATCCGACTTCTCCAACTCAAAGAACCTCCGCACTATCGAACCCGGCACCCGCCCCGCCGTAATAGCTGCCGCTAAATCCGCCGGAAAACTCTCCAGCGACCTGCCGGCCTCCCCCAGCAGCAGCATGGCCTCTTCCCTGTTGCGGTCCCTTTCCTCCTCTTCACCACCGTTGTCATTGCTGTCGCCGCCGCCTCTGCCACCACTCCCTGTGGATCCACCGCTATTCCGGGATGAGAAAACTGCGGTGGCCGGAGAATGGAGCAAATGTGCGGGCGTGAAAATGGGTGCAGAGCAATATTTGAGCTTGGAAGAGAAGAAGATGAAAGTTCCATGGCGGGTTGTGATGGTGAAGCTTGGCAGAGAGGAGTGGTTGTAGTGGTAGATGTTGCTTAGTGTGTGAGTATGAAGAGGGAACAAGTGTATAGAGAGTTTGGAGAAGGAAGCCATGGCCATTGTAGAGAGAGAAAGAAGTGTGAGAGAGTAATTGATGACCGTTAAAAATGGAGGGAGAGGTGTCTCAGTTGATAAGCTAATTGATAAGCCACTTTGCAATGGACGTATTATTTATATTTTTTTCTTATCTTAATAATTTTTTTAATTGAATTAAATATTTCTTTTTTATTCATGTTCATAGTACAATTGGAAAAGAAAAAAAAGAGAGAATTCACAAAAAAAATAAAAAAAATACGAAACTCATTTTAATCCCTAAAAAAAAAATATCTATATTAGTTCTTTTTTAAAGACTAATGTGGATCTTCTTTGAATTTTTAAGAGACCACAATTTTAAAGAACTGAAATTTTATAGGGAGCGCAAGTTGACTTTTTTTAAAAGGATTAAAATGGGTTCTGTGTTTTTTGTTGAGAATCCAAAAAGATATTTACTAAAAAAAAAACTAAATACAATTGATTTCTAGTTTTTAAATTTTACCATTAGTTTTAATTAAAAGGATTTTTTTTTTGGAAATTAAATTCGTTTAGATTTTTACTGATTTGTAAACTTTAGATCCAATGCTCAATTTGAAATTGTACCTTAATATTTGGAGGGTTAAAATTTAATTTGGAGCTTAAGGTGATCACAAACCAGCTCAAAGGAGCCCCAAGAGTTTGGATGAAATTGCTTAGGAGCGAAAGAAAGAGACTTCAAAATTGATGTCTAGAACTCATATAAGGGAAGCCTCCGCAAAATGGGTTTTGTACACAAAAAATAAGCGTGGCAAAACAGAGTCTTTGGGTGAATCGTGCAAATGCTCTCATCCATGAAGGGAAGGGTCACTGACCAGCTGCGTCCCTTCACAGGCACGCCCAAGAGGGTTTAGGACACCAACTAGTCCATGCTCATCATAGAGCATCATATAAGAATCTCACCTGCTACCCAGTCATAGCGGTTAGTATAATAACCCTAACCTGTGAATTGTTAATTTGGCAGTTGATTAAGAATTTAATTATGACTAAGATAGATTAATTAGATTAGAGGTCTAATTATATGAAATAAAGTGACTTTTGGACAAAGTACAATTCGTGAAAATTTTGTGGTAAAAATGCAAAATTAGGTAAAATTACCCAAAACTGATAAATTAAGTGTGTAAAAATCAATTATATGATATTTATGATGTTAGAACACATATTTAGAAATCCTAAGCCATTTGGCTAGAATAAGTAAGGAAGAAAGGTAAAATAGAAAGTTACCATGTGTAGACAAATTACCCGTCAACTAAATGACTTAAGACACTTAAGCAATACAAAAATCAGACACATGTCCAACTAATCACACTTCCTCTTCCTCCTTCGCTGGCCACCATTGGAGAAGGAGTAAGTTTGTGTAAAATTCACAACTTGTGCTAGAGTGAACGAAATTGGGTGGTTACAAAGGTAAAAGTGTGTAAAATCTCTTCCTCTACAAAATCCTCTATGTAGTTACCATCAAAAAGCCATATTGAGTTAGATATCTCCCATCTACCATTTCGAAACTTATGAGATTTTTGGTGATTTGGGTGTTTTAAGTGCATTGGAGCTTGAAGTCTCCTTCCTCTTGCATTCTTGGATGATTCATGGTAAATTTGTACCACTCCACTCTAGTTTTCATGGATTTTCATGGATGTAAGGTTTTGTGTGAATAATGTCATGAAAATTAATATGTTTAGAGGCTGATGATGGTGGTTTGTGTGTTATTCATGTTGTAGAGTTGGTCCCAAGGACGTTGTGAGCGATCCTCACCAATTGGGATCCATATTTGCTCAAATTAGGAATTCTTGAGTTTTTCACAAGAGATAAGTCACAAGTATGATGTTTTTCACCAAGAGATAAGTCATAAGTATGATGTTTAGGACTTGAATTGGATATTGTCTATGTTGGAAAAAATGTTAAGGAGTTAAAATGAATGGTGTTTAAAATGTGTATTTTCACCATGTTATAACATGTGTATTTTGATGATCATTTGTTGTATGTCACATGATCATGTATTTTTGGAGCATAAGATGTTAGCTATGCATCTTTTGATATATTCCTATGTATCTTGTTAGAAAAACATGTATAGGATTTGTATATTTTATAATGCTTAGTGATATTGAGGTTAAGTAAAGGTGCATGAACATCTTTCGGACATTGATGTAATCATGTATTGTTTATATAATGGAAGGGCTTGTAAGCCTATTTGAATATCATGAGACCTAAGTTATGGACAAGGTAATGCATGACTTGAGTGGTTGTGTAATTGAAGCATGTAAGATGTAAAGACAATGAACAAGAGACATGTAATATGGATATTATGTTATTAAGGCTCATTGATGCATGTTTAAATTATCTAAATGGTAAATTAGGTCTCAATAAAGTATTGGAAGATATCCTAATCCATCCAAATGCATATAAATGTTGTTATTTTGGCTTTGTCCAGTATGGTAATCTATTACCGTATATTGGTAATCGATTACCACATAACAGGGGATGTAAAATCCAACTTCTATTTTGATTGGTAATTCGATTACCAACCACTAGGTAATCGATTCCCTAGTGTAGATACAAGGTATGTTTTGATGATAACAAAGTGGCAACAACAAAAAGAGAAGAGCTTTAATCAAGAGCAAAAAACATCAACCATATGTGGATATTGAAGATGTATGATGTAGCCACACAAGAACAGTGATGTCATATCAAAGTGGCAAGATCATTGGATCAAGAGCAACAAGGAACAATTAGAAGAGCAACACCAAGATCAAAGACAACTAACCATGGACAACATCTAAGAGAAGCTCAATATCATAACCATGGTGAAAAATGATCAAAACCAACAAAGTGCCAAGCATTGTCATATTCAACAAGTCAAAGCATCAAGTTCAAGTAAAGATCCAAGACACAAAGACATAAATATAAGTCTAAAATCATATTTGGAATATATCTTTAGGACTTAGAATATATGTGAGGGTATATGGTAGATTGCATTGCATGAGCTCAAAGTTTTTCTCAAAGTAAACATGTTTTTCAAATTGCATAATCATAATCTTTATATACTTGAAAGAAATTTGAAAAATCCAAGGAAAAGATCCTTGACATATTTTATAACTTCAAAACATATTTATCAAGTCAAGATCTTTCACAAAAACTGGTTGGAAGCAAGCTAGAACACATTTGAACCAAAAATCTGTTGCTTAATTTTTCTGCTGCCTTCCATACAACTTTTCGTATCTAATATGATGGATTTGGATCTTGTGTTCTTCATAAAATTTGTAGATCTTTCTTTTATCTTTCCAACGAGACTAATATCACATCAATCCGACAAGTATAACTCAAGTTATACCCAAAATACGAAACAGTGTTCTTGCTGTCAATAAAGTATTCGAATACCTGACGCAGTATTCGAATACCTTATTAAGTATTCGAATACCACACGTAAAGTATTTGAATACTTGCTGGGAAGAAGGCCTATAACGACCATAAACGGCTATAAATGAAGTATTCGAATACCACACAAAAAGTATTCGAATACTTACTGGGCAGAATGCATAAAACGGTCATAAACGGCTATAAACGGCTAGTTTTCAATGGAAACACTATAAATACATTCCTTATGACCCTAAAACGAAGTGATCACCATTCCTACACATCTTAAGGATGATTTGAGAGCTTCTACACTATCATTTGCATATTCTTTTATATCTTTCAAAGATCAAACATATTTGAGCTCATATCTTGAAAATCCATATACCCATAGTGCTTCAAGTTGTATATCCACACTTTGAGAGTGTATATTCATTTCCTAATATTCTCCTTCTTGTATTCTTGAGTTGAAAGGGTTGTGAGACCCATTATTTGAGAGGTAGCCAAATACCTAAGTAAATTTGGAGTGAATTGTAAGGTTACCAAGTACCCGTAAACTTGGAGATTGAAAGGTATCCAAGAACCCGAAATCTTGGAAGATTGTAAAGGTTTGTCAAGCACCCGTGAAACTTGACCATTAGTGAAAGAGTTGATCGAGCGGCTTCAGTCTGGATGTAGGTCACAAGTGGTGGTGATCAAACTAGGATATATTGTGTTAGCAATTCTCTAAACTCTAAACTCTTTATTTCTAGCACTTTAATTGCTTCTTTGATATCTTGTATGTGCTAGTATAAGTTCTACAATTGTGATATATTATATATTATGGATTGTCTGAATGTATTGATTAGCTTTTCACATATTAAAGTTTGCTTGAAATGATTATTTAGAAATTAGAAGGGGGCTTTTGTAAAAATTTTGTAATACTCAATTCACCCTCCCTCTTGAGTATGGAAGCCACATTCCTAACAAGTGGTATCAGAGCCTAGTGCTCAGTTAGAGGTTTAACCACCTAGAGTTAAAGATCCTTTTTGGGGCTTCCAATATAATTTATTTTAAATCAAAAAATGCAAGGCTTTGAATGTGATAAACCACCATTCTTTGATGGCGAGGATTTTGAATATTGGGTGAAAAGAATGTAAGTTTTTATTCAATCAATTCATATTTATATGTGGGATGTTGTAGATGAAGGTTTTTCATTGAAAATAGAAGAATGCATGAATGATTTCAATAAAAGATGTCTTGTCTTCAATCTTGAGGCTATGCAAATGCTTAGAAAAAGTGTATATGATGATGCATATGCTAAGATTAAACATTGCATAAATGCTAAAGATATATGGGATACTCTTATTGCTATCTATCTTGTCAATGATGATTCTGTGCATAAAGATGCATATAGAGAGAAAGAATTGCAAACTCCATTGGAAGAAGAAAAAGATGATAAATGCACTCAAGAAGGGATCGAAAGGGATCAAAGAAGCTCAAAACCTCTTTGTGACAATGATGACATTCAAGTTGAGGTAAACCTTGATTATAATCCTTCACATGATAATTTGTAATGTGCGTACGATGATTTGAATGATAGCTTGTTGAACTTGAAAAATAGAAATTTGGCTTCAATACAAAGTATTTGCTTCATTGAAAATCAAATTGAATCTTTGATAAATATATATGATTTTCAAGAAGAG